TTCAGGAACACACCGAGTTCACTGTAGAGGAAAAACTGAAGCAGAGTTACATATTAATACAGAGAAGAGGGAGGAAACACCCGCTGAACAATACCCTGGCAGCATGAGCTCTTCTCTCTCCTCTTCTCCGGGCTGTTTTAACATTGTAGGTGCTTGCTTGCACCCAGGCCCTGGGGCCCGTAACCAGGTTTCAGCGTCTGTTGCTAAGGAAGGAGGGGCCTCAGCTGTGCCCAGATACAAGACTGGGCTTGACTCAGTGGGTGTCTTCCTTTGCTGGAGGCCTGGCTGGGCAGCAGAAATCGTTGACGACAGAAGCGGAGATGGGAGGGTGTTAGCAATGATCTGGGAATATGGAGGTGAGTGGCAATGAAAGACTGAGCCTTTGGTGAAGTCTAAATGCAAATAGCATGGTGGTTAGTCTTGGGCTGGACACAGCTGGGTTCAGATCCCGCCCTTCCCATTAATTAGCTAAGTGGCTTGAACAAGTTGCTTTATCTAAGTGTCCTTTTTAAATGTAAAATGGCAACAAGGTGAGTACCCACCTCATAGGGTAAGGTTTAAAAGTTTAATGAGATAATGTCTGTAAAGCAATTTGCACATAGCAGGGGGCAACCAACTCGGTCCCAGTTTCCGTGGGATACTCTGTTTTGTTTTTTTTAAGATTTTATTTATTTGACAGATAAAGGGAGAGCACAAGTAGGCAGAGAGGCACGAAGAGGAAGAGGGAGAAGCAGGCTCCCCGCTGAGCAGAGAGCCTGATGCGGGGCTCGATCCCAGGACTCTGGGATCATGACCTGAGCTGAAGGCAACCGCTTAACCGACTGAGGCACCCAGGCGCCCCATTTGTCTGGGTTTTTTAACAGTGTAAGTCCTGCATCCTGGAAACCCCCTCAGTCCTAGGCAAAGTGGGATGGCTTGGTCACCCCATGCAAGAGGCACTCCATAGATGTTGTGGCTAACGTAATCCTTATTATAAACGTAGAAACACACACACACTCGCACATGTGTACTGACAGTTACAATATTAGCTGCTGCCCAAATATTCAAAGCACGTGTTACTTGGTCGCTTTCAAAGTTCTCTCAAAACCAAGTTAGACTTACTGAGCTCTTTTGGGGTGCCATGCTTGCGTATCTGTCATTTCATTCAATTTTCCCCCAAACTCCATGTTGTTCCCATTTTGTGGACAAGAAAATCAAAACTGAGCAAGATACGTAAACTTCCCAAGTTGATGCGACTCCTAAGAAACACCGATCCAAGTCGAAGCCAGTCCTCATGACCCGAGTCCAGTGCTCTTTCCACAAAGGACCTGACCTGAACACAAACATTTCTGAGATCCTACCATGAGCACTTGCATGGCACCAAGTACTTCCCTTGCTCCTTTTTCTTACTTCTTCCTCAAAGTTGAGCACTCCATACTTTCAAAATAACCTTGTGGTTGCTCATCTCTTATATTTGTACTCTCTATCATCGGGCAAATAGGTAGGGGCCACTTTTAGGCAAACAGGCTTGAGCAATGGAATGTAGGCAGGGCCCACAGCCACCCCCTGGCTGAATACAGAGAGGCCCATCAGATGACCCACCTCAAAATATCCATAGGCCCTAACTAACCAATGGGCTACTTACAACCAGGCACTGTTACCAAAAAGGGGAGAATTCTGTATGTTCCCACACCTCCCTATCTTTGCCTTTAAAAACAGCCCCCACCTGCTACTTCCTCTGCACTCCCACCCATCCCTGCCTTGCGGTGTATTCAGTAAACTTCTGTCTCCTTTGTTCTGCCTCAGGTAAATCCTTTTAACTCCTGTGCCACCAGCTTCCAGCTGATCCTCACCCCACATTTGGGGGCTCCTAACCAATCAGACATATACCACATTTAGACACCATACTATATACAGTTTCAAAAAGTATCTGGAATAAATGAATTAGAGACAGGGTTTGAGACTTTGCTTTAGACAGCAATGGGGTTATTACCAGGCCTCCTATAATGGGGCATGAAACCCAATGTCCCACAAAAACCAGCAGCTGTAACTCAACAAAGTGAGTAAGTAGAAAGGGACTGGTAGGATGCTAATGAGCCTCATGACCCCACGGGTGAGTAGGAGACATGTCTCCATCTGAAAGTTAGTGTACTTTAAGTCTACCTGTGTTCAAAAATATCAAAACAATGATTATGGCTTTCAAGTACTGAGCTATAGGTATCTGCTGGTACTGTGCTAAGCACTTAATGAGCATCATTTCTAAATCTACTCAACAACCCAGAAAATAAATACAATTATTATCTCAAGTTTTATAACTGAAGAAACTGAGACACAGAGCGGTTAAGTGACCTACCCATAGTCACTCAGCTAGGTTGGGAGCAAAGTTGGGATTTGAACCTGACTCTGGAATCTGCTCCCCAGCTTTAACCAAAAACCTACATATGGTCTGAAGAAAGATAGAAAATAAATAAAATATCTACTAAGGAGAATGAAAATGCTATGTTCCCCGCCCCCCATCCAAGCCCTGGCCACTTCATCTGCACCAGAATTATCTGACTTAACTTTCTGTTTGATCATTCCCAAGACAGATGCAGGCTTCAAGTCCCTCAATCCCTCAATTCCAAGTACACAGGGTTGCCAGATAAGACACAGGACACCCAGTAAAATTAGAATTTCAGGTAAATAAATAATTTTTTAGTGTGAGTATTCAATATTTGGGACATACTTACATTAAAAAAGTTACCTTCACTTTGAACTGGGTGTCCTGGATTTTTATTTGCTAAGACTGGCAATTTGGGGGAGAAGAAGTCAGCTAGAATCTGGGTGTTCTCTCTCTCTGTGATATTAACAGCTTAGGGTCTCAATGTGTTGCTGGGAAATTTTCACACATTTCTTATTCAGAGCGCAGTGCTCCTGGTAGGTCTTTCCTAAGACCTGAAATGGTTGCTTAGCCAGAGAAAGTAACCTTTGAAAAGCAAAGAGGAGGCTGCACATAGCTTTATTTTATTGAGCCATCAATGGTCGTCATGAGCTGAGTCCTGATGATATGGAGAAAGCTAAGATCCTAGCCATCAGGGAACCCATCATATGGTGGAAAAGGCAGCCAACACACAAGAAAAAAGCAAAACCTGGCTGTCCCTGCAATGACAGAGGTGGGGTGGGGGGTAGTAGAGAATTCACAAAGCCACCCCTAGATGGCACCCTTGAACAAAAATTCTGGGGAAGGCCCCAGTTCAGCTTTCCAAAGCAATGCCCACCAGGGAATGACAGTTGTAATGTTTTGTTCTAAAGGGAAAAAAAACCCCACAACATTTTAGGTGGGGCACCCATCATACTGCAGCAGAATAAAATGCATGAAGCCACACAGGGCTGCCCGAAACTTAAGAATTTAGGGGCATTTATCTGTCCATGTTCTATCTCCACCATTAGCTCCCCTTTTGTGGGCTGTTGTGGAATTGGACGGGATCCCTTAACTTCATTATTATTGTCCCCAAGCTTATTTCTTTATCCACCAGCCTGTTTATTTCTAGAGATATTAGTGGGTAGAAGACTGTACCATCAAATCTTTTTGAGTCCCTCCTATACTCCAGATAGGTACTAACTTCTTTACAGCTATTTTTGCATCGGTCCTCACTAAAACCCCATGACTGTTTCCCAGGCTGCTATGGATGTAGGTCACAGAGGAAAGGTAGGTCCACCGAGGTCCTTGGATGGAAAATGCCTGAGAACTATGCAGTAGCAGGCCAGTGCTGAGGCCTGTCATTTTACAGATGAAACCCAGGTCCAGAGCGTTAACTCACCCAAGGTCACAGAGTAAAAGTCAGCCCTGAGATCAGGGCCCAGGACTGTTGGGACCCCAGGACCCCTGGACCCCCCAGCCCATCGTCTTTACCAGTAGCTCTATGACAGTATATATATGTGTGTGTGTGTGTGTGTGTGTGTGTGTGTGTGTGTGTATACATATAAGATTTATTTATTTAAGAGAGAGAGTGTGCGCGGGGAGGGGGAAAGGGAGAGGAAGAAGCAGACCCTCCCCCTCCCCAAGCAGGGAGCCAGAGGCGGGGCTCGATCCCAGCACCCTGGGATCACTACCAGAGCCAAAGGTAGATGCTTAACCAACTGCACCACCCAGGCACCCCTATGGTTCTTAACAGGAACAGTGGTTCTTAACAGGAAGATTGTGCCCCCTCACAGGGCATTTGGCAGTGTTTGGGGACATTTTTGGTTGTCACAACTGGGAGGGAGGGAATGACTACTGGCATCTAGTGGGTCGAGGTCAGGGACGCTGCTAAACATTCTACAAAACACAGGGTCATCCCCTCAAAACAAAATTTTCCCGCCCAAAATGTCAATAGAGCTGCCATTGAGAAACCCTACTCTATGGGCTGGATTTGGGACCAGGGAACATGTGTCCGGCTCTGACGTGGAACTGAGGGACTTGGGTTTAGACTTTTTCAATTATAAAAAAATGGAGAAAATAACCTCACCCATCTTTAAGAGTCTCGCTGGCTCATGATATCTGCGTGAGAAGTAATGGCTAAAACCTGCCGGTCAAGGCCGTACCTCATCCTTGGGTGTCCTGGGCTCCAGGAATGTTTCCAAAAGAGGTGGTTCAGGTGTAGGTATTTAGGCAGGGGAAGCCCTAAGACGCTGCGCCATCCGGTGCTCAGAGGCCAGTCCACCTGTCTCGGCGGTGGCCTGGGCACTCTCACTTCAAGCCAAGGGTGTAGGACGGGCCTCAGTTTTCTCATTTGTAAACTATTCAGGGCCTGTCAGGGTGGCTCCAAGATGCCGGGGGGGGGGGGGGGGGGAGGGGAATGCGCTTCGCGGAGCGCGCGGCCAGAGGCCTCGGTGCGCCCTCGCCGGCTCCCTCCAGCCGTGGGCGGGGAGAGCCGAAACCAGCCCGGCTGTCAGAGACGCGGACAGGCGAGGGGCGGAGTAAGGGGCGGGGCGAAGGAAGGGGGGGAGGCGGAGGCGGGGGAAGGCGGCAGCCTGGGCGGGGCAGGAAACAGGGTCCCGCTCCCGCCCTTGCCCACGAGAGTTCTTCCCTTCTCTTCCTCCTCCCCCCGCCTCCCTCCTCTCCGCCTGCAGACCCTGGTGAGCGCGGCAGCCAGGACCGGTGAGCTCGCAGCTTGGTTGCTTGGGTACAGCATGCCCGGGCTGGCTAGACCCCCTCACAGGGGAGGGGCAAATGGAGGGGCGCCGGGCGTAGGTTGAGCAGGCAATGGGTGTCCTGCGCTGTGGCCCTTTGTCCGCAGTTTAGTATAAAGGGAAGTCTTACCCCTTCGAGTCCTCAAGACGGGCTGGGAGCGCACGCACGCTCTCACACACCCTCACACCCACCATTAGACTTGGTAAAAGGGTTGCCAGCCCCATCCCACCCCGGAGACCCTGACCCTTTTTGGAAAACTTGGCGGGGGAGTCTCCAAACCCTCTCCCCAGGATTAATGAAAATGGGTACACTCCTTCCCACAGGTCTCTCTTCTATACCGAGGGAACCCCCTTCACTGCAGAGTGGGGCGCTCCAAGTAACAAAGGTGGACGCTTCTCCCCAAATTAATGACTCCACTCCCGCGTGAACCCCCCTTTCTCAGCCTCCGTGCGCGGAACCTCCTCTCCACCTGCCTCCCTTCCTCTTCCCCTCTACCCATGGATCCCTAAGCTGGGCGTCTGGAGGCTCCCCTTCGCGTTTTCGAAGGCCGAGAGACTGGAAGCAGATGGGGAGGGGGCGGCCTGGGTAGGCCCGAGCCGCGCCTCATTCCTTTCCCCCAACAAGTGTTGCGCCGCCTCTCCCTTCCAGCAGGAACGCTCGGGGTGGCCGTTAGTCCCGGGAGCGGCGAGTTGGCCAGTGATCTTGGGGATCAGCCTGGAGGGAGCGGAGAAGGCGGGGAACTTGCGGGCCGCGCGGGGTTTAAGGGGTTGCTGCCTCCCCTCCAGAGACTTCTCAGTTCCTGGGGAGACCTCCTCTGTAGAGTGAGTGACAAGGGGGTCTGGGGATTGGTAGGCAGGTGGATATATTTGACGGCTGTGGCCCATGGCATTCTACCCAGGTTCGTTCCCATCGGACTCCCCAAACCGGTCTGGGTGGCCCTTGGGTTCCCTAGGCCTCTGGAGACCTGTAAGGGGAGCTGGGCTTGTATCTGCTTGCTGCAGAGATGAGATTAGGGGAGCTATATCCTGGGAACGTCCCAAATCCAAGATCTGTGCCAGTTGCAGCTTCAAAGACAGAATATGGCTGTGGAGGGGTTAGTTCTTTCCTGTCCAAAGGGTTCCTGTTTGACGGAGGGGGTTGTAGCAGAGGCTCTCTAGCTGGGGTGATGAAAATGTACTTTAATCTGCGTTCTAGACCCTATAGGGTCTAGTTAGTAAAAACTCCTCCCCCTTAACTCACATAATTGCCATGTGGTATAGTCAACATGGTAAACAGATGTCAACATCACTCAGTTAATTTTGGCCACTGTGACAGGATCTCTGAGGCTTTTTTATTATCAGGTCATTTCTAAGGGAGAAATTGTGTTCAACCCTACAGTTCTGGGAAATATAAAATAACGATATATTCGTTTATATGAAAATCCAACAGGGGTTAAAAAATATCTTATTGAACAAATTGGTTTTTAACATGAACTTAGGACAGTCCTGGAAATTAAAGGCTGTTGAGTCACAGAGTATAACTGTGGCTTAGTCCGCCCTTGAGACACCTAACCCATTAAGTGGAGACTTACAGGAAAATAGAGAATGATTTATGTGGTTGGAAGCCAACCTGTTTAGTGTGGGTAGTAAATAAAGAAATTGGCCACCATCACTATTTAAGAAAGGCTTTCTGGGGGGAAAAAAGGCAATGGGACTTGAAATGGTGTATTCAGCTTTCTACTCTGTTCTTTTTTTTTTTTTTTTTTAAGAAGTTCTACCATATTCTTTGCAGCAGTTTGTCAGGCTAAAAAAATAAACATAAGTCCCCAGAGATAATACCATTAACATTTTGGTATTAAATGATCTATATATATCCTTCTAGGTCTTTTACTATGGAATATAAACATAAAATACATTTATGTAACCATATGGGATATCTTATAATTTTTTTCACTTATGGACATGTTCATGTCACTAACTAGATGTCTACATTATCATTTTAATCACTGTGCGATACTCCATTTTATGAATTTATCATTAACCAATTTCCTACTAATGGACCGTTAGCTTCTTTCCAGTGTTTTGCTGTTTATTATATTCTATACATAGAATTGCACTGCACATCCTTTTTGTATGTTTTGATATACCTATTTGATTATTTCCTTCAGATTCCTAGAAAATTGTTGGATGAAGGCGTGGGCACTTAGAAATTCTGATAGATATTGCCAATCCACCCTCCACCTATTGTGTGAGGATAATAGAAGCTTTTGTTGAACTATAGCTGGGTGAATACTACTAATGGTTCAGGGTACTTTCTGTTTCACCAGTGACAGCAAGAGACTGGGTGACATGAGAGATTCGACTGCGCCCTGCCCTGGACAGCTTAATGGTAGAAGCATTAATCCCTAAAGAGACCGGAGTGGGTTTCAGGATGGCAAAAGAGGAGCCCCCGAGTACCTCAAAGGACTTGCAGGAGCTGCAGAAGAAGCTGTCTTTGCTGATAGAATCCATCCAGAATAACTCAAAGGTCAGTTTCCAATCAGGCTATGTAATGGAAAATCCCAAAATAACAGCAGCTTAAACACCATAGAAGGTTATTTCTCTCTGAAGTGGGAGAAATTTGGTCAGAAATCTTTGTAATTCACCACCCTGCCATGGTGTCTAAATTGTGATCTTCAAACTCATTATCCAAGATGGCTGCTAAAGCATCAGCCATTGTATTCACATTCCAGGTAATAAGGATGGAGGAGGAAAAGGGAGAAAGACTTACAAGCCACCTCTAATTTAAGGTGACTTCCTGGAAGTCACACATAGCACTTCCAATTACATCTCGTAGACTAGAATTTAGTTGCATGTCTACCCTCGGGGTAGATGGAGTTCTTTAGCTGGATATAGAGGGTGGGTCTCAGTCTGTACCACAGATACCATACTTTTTTGTTTTGTTTTCTTGTGAATTTTGCCCTGTTACCTGAGACTGAGGGGCTAAAGCCAACTTTAGAATTTGAGTCCAGTTTTCCACTAGAACCGCAGCGTTCAATAGAAGTATGATATGAACCACATATGTAATTTAAAATTTTCTAGTAGCCACATTTGAAATGTAAAAAGTGGGTAAAATTTATTTAGCCAAATATATCTAAATATCATTTCAATATGTAATCATAAAGAGTTATTAATGAAAAAAGTTATTGAGATGTTCTGTATTCTTTTTTGTAATAAGTCTTCAAAATCCAGTGAATATTTTACACTTAACGACACATTTCCATTTGAATTAGCCATTTTTCAGGTGTTTAGTAGCCATTCTGGGGCAATGGGGCTTGAGATAGCATATTCTACTTTCTCAAATTTTTATCTTTCTTTCTTCTATATGTCATTAAGCATTTTGTCAGGGGAAAAAAACAGCTCTCAGAGATAATACTAACATTTTGTTGTATTTCCCTCTAGACGTTTTTTTCCTATACAAAATACCCATAAAATACGTAAGTGCGTGTAACAAAATGAACTGGTTTGTGATCTATTTTTTTGTATTGGACAGCATGGTTCCCCTCGGGTCTATTTGAAGAGACGGGACTTTGCAGTCTAGAGAAATATACTCTATAGAGATCTTTCCTGGACTTGTCCCAAAATGCCTCTGGCCCTCTTTGTGGTGTTAGCAAGCTATTTTTAAATTGGCCAAGCAGCTTTCTAGTCAGCAGGCTGAGACTCTTGTTACTAAAAGTTAGCTTAGTAAGAAAGGTCCTGCTTATCTGCATGTGCGTTTGGTTCTCATATGTGTTAGTTATGTTCTCTGGCGGCACCTCAAACAACTGCTGAATAATGTCTCCTAGGGGAATACAGGATTAGGGACTGGCAAATTTCTGGTCACAACATTTTCATCAACTGGTAAGTATATACACTGTTGTATGTGTATTTCTGTTTAAAAACAACTTATTTAGTATATGTTGTTGATTCATTAACGTTAAACTCATGGCCAATAGCGCTATAGCTCTTGCCTGAACAAAGCTTATCTAACACACCTATTTCCTTTTAAGGCGGATCACACCCTTATGAAGGGTGAAGAACACAAGATAGTACTTCTGCTATTTTAAATGGTTAAATGACCAACAAAAAATATAAGATACGAGAAAAGGTGGCACTAAATATACCTTGGAAAGGATAGTTGTTTAAAGATCTGAAATAAGAGCATTGCCTAGTTGACCTCAGCTGAGAACATGTGTTTCAGGTGACTTAAATTTTCCCATGCTCTGTACATGTTCTTGAAAGCACCACAAATATTGATTTTGGAGCTTCAAATGAATTTTGGTGAGTAGGTGAATTTGCAAATATAGAATCTGCAAGTAATAGGGATTGACGGTAGATTGATGAACCCTGATTGAGCACTTACTATATGCCAAGCACTGTGTTAGGCATTTGGCACATCTTATTTAATATTCATGTCTACATTCTGAAGTAGACATTTCAAAGCATATGAACTTGGGTTTCTTGGCATTTCTTTACTTCGTTGTTGTAGATCCTCAGTCGTGGTCATTGGAATAGATTTGGGCTGGATAACTTCTAGGCCAGCCGACTCCCAGAGTGATGGGACAGATTATCAGCTAAGCCCTGATGTTCTTTGGATAGTCCTAAGGTAGAGTAGTTTCTTTTAAAATTTTGTATTATGTTAATTAATGTGAGTTGTGTTAACTCAGTAATATTGAGGAAAAAGGAAAGCAAATCACCTGTAAACACATCAGTAACAAATCCACTGATGGTGATTATTATTAGTAGTAGGCCCCTTCAGTATGTAATGGTTGTAATTATGGCAGATATAGTCCTGTATTTTTATTTTTGTTTGATATTGCATATTGGTGTTTTTCTATATTGAATCTTAGGTCTTCCGAACAGTTGCTTGGTAGTAGAACCTTCCATCAGATTGACATAACCATAATTTACATAAACATCCCCTTGTTTCTGGGATATTTAGGTACTTTCTTTCCCCCAGATAATTTTTAACCTTTCCTCAGAGTTAATAGGCCCTTGAAATTCCAGAAAAGACCAGATGGGCTTCTACATGGAGTGTTTGTGAAACAACTCCATAATTTCTTCTAGGAAGCCTCTGGAATGTCAAGTCTTCATTGACATAGGCTGAGAGAGTCAGAAACCCGCTCGAAATAGCTTAAGCAGACGAATACTGAGACCTGCCGGGACTTTGGGGAAATGGGAGACTATCTTAGAAAACACAGGCTAAAATTAATTTTAGCAATATATTTTATATAACACAGTATATCCAGAACAATATAACTTCAACATGTAATAATATTAAAAATTAGTGATGAGATAGTTTACATTTTTTAATAGACTTAGTGCAAGTCTCAATTCAGATACTAAATTTCCATTGAAAATACTTGCTCTCTATTCAGATTTCATAAAACTTACATTTGAAAAACTTATTTGAAACATACGTAATTTGAAATGTAATTCAAAACATTCCAGTGACTGAAGCATCTCTCAGTTTTTAAATAGAATTTAAAGTTAAAAATCCAGTTCATCGGTGACACTAGCCACATTTTAGGTGTGCAGTAGCCACATGTGGTTGTTATGCTGGGGGGTCCGGGTGTAAATTCATAAGCCTGGCCTTCGAGTGTTCCAGCCTCATCTGCTCCCCACTGTGGTTACTGGGTCTCTTGATGGTAAGGACCAGAGAGAACAGTTCAGTCTGTCAGAGGATGCCTGGGTGGTTTTACTAAGAATATATGCGGACTTTAGAGCCGGAAAGCAATCAAGACTTACGACAGCTCCAGGGACCAGCCCCGCTCCTGTGACCCCTCCTTGCTCACCTTCAGCTGCCTTAACAGGAGAGTCTCATTGGGTTCTGATTATCTGAGCCAGGCATTCCTAGTATAGTCATCTCTGGCTAGAGAAGTTGAATAGCCAAGTCTGGTAGCTTTTCTCAGGAGTAGCTAGAGGCAGTAGCTGGTGGGCATTGTGCCATGTTTTGTTTTGTTTTGTTTCATTTTTGTGGCCTGATTGGAAGTGAAATTTGTCAGGCCTAGAGATTCTCCTAAGGAGGCAATGCTGAAGCCCCAAGGCCGATGGCAGTGGCTTCTTGGAACAACAGCCTTTTCTACTTAAGCAGCATGAACCCTGCACTTTGATCACCATCACCTTGAACTACAAAACCCTCATGTCTTCCAGCTGGCCCCCAGATTCCCACCATTGGAGTCACCAGGAGGCACGTGTGTTTTGGGTAGTGGTACCCGTGTTCGCCATAGCTTGAATTTCCTCTTCATTTCAGCTGCTATAAGGCCTTAAGGAATGAGACCTGGGAAGTATTTTTTTTTACGATGTTATGTTAATCACCATACATTACATCATTAGTTTTTGATGTAGTGTTCCATGATTCATTGTTTGTGCATAACACCCAGTGCTCCATGTAGAACGTGCCCTCTTTAATACCCATCACCAGGCTAACCCATCCCCCCACCCCCCTCTGCTCTAGAACCCTCAGTTTGCTTTTCAGAGTCCATCGTCTCTCATGGTTCGTCTCCCCCTCCGATTCCCCCCTTCATTCTTCCCCTCCTGCTATCTTCTTTTTTTTTTTATTTTAACATATAATGTATTATTTGTTTCAGAGGTACAGGTCTGTGATTCAACAGTCTTGCACAATTCCCAGCGCTCACCATAGCACATACCCTCCCCAATGTCTATGAAAGTTTTGATGGGGAAAAGTTCTGGAATGATGGAACCTTTAAGACAACAGGAGCTAACGTGTCAGTAGTGAGGAGAGAAACGGAATGGGGCTTAAGAAGACGGGGGGAGGCCATCCTTGTGGATTTTCTAGGGCCAGCTCTGCATAAAGCAGCCCTCCCCCACTGAGCCAGATCAACAAACTCTCGTGCCTAATGAAGGAAGATAGCTTGTTCATTAAGCCTGCAGTAGTCATCAGGCTGTGGCCTCACTGTGGTATCCACGTTGACGACATGCAAGCATTTTTTCCTAACAAGGTGGCAGCCATTGCAAGCATTTGACGTTTAGAGTGAAAAAATTCATCTTTGAGGGCCTAGATTTTGCCACCTGGAAGCTGTGTGACTCTAGGCAAGTCCCATTCCTTTCTCAGACTTTCATGTGTATACAGGTCACCTGGGGCTCATTAAAAATCACCTGATTTAGCAGGTCTGGGGCAGAGCTTGAGATGTTGAGCTTATAACAAGCTCCCAGGTGATGCCAAGTAGCGAGGACTTAACCTCTATGTGCCTCGGTGGCCGTGGCTCTGAAACCTCAGCATGCAGTAGGAGATAAATCGTGTGGACGTTACATCCATGTGCACACGTGCCGAGGGCCCCTTGGGAGGGTGTGTGTGAAGTGTTAGAAACATGACCAGGGTCTTTCCTCCTTTCACAAGACTTGAGGTTGGGTGGGACCCACAAACTTGCTATCTGTCTACCGCTGCCTTAAGTTGTTGCCAGGGTGACTCATGCCATGGGAGAATTGTTAGTGTTGACTTGTTATGTTCCTTACGAGCCCTCCAACTTTCTAGCCTTTAGTTATACTTCCTGCAGCCCAGGTGGATCCATCAGCCTGGGGTTCAGACATGGTGTTCAGTCCTGGCTTTTTCTCCCTTGCCTGCAGGTGGTTGCCTTCATGAAGTCTGCGGTGGGGCAGTACCTGGACAGGCACCCTTTCATGGCCCTCACCGTGCTGGTGTTTGTGGTCATGTCAGCCGTTCCTGTTGGGTTCTTCCTGCTCGTCGTGGTGCTTACCTCCCTGGCTGCTTTTGTGGGAGTCATTTTACTGGAAGGTATCCTGCTCATCTGTTCAGCATCTTTGGAAAATGATTCAGCTAGGGGCACGGGTATTTATTGGGTAGCTGCCACTCTCATCCAATGTTCCTGTTCCTGAAAAGGTCACAGTGACTGAGGCGGATTGTCAGAGTAGTTACAAGATGGGCACTTTGGAGTCCACATTAGAATCCTACCTCCACCAGTGTGATTTTTGGACAAATTACTTACCCTCTCTGAACCTCAAACTCCTCATATGTAAACTGGGGAAATAATAATACTGTCTCAAAGGGTTGTGGTAGGGATTGAAAGTTAGAGTCCCATAAAATGTTTAGCAGAGCCCATGGTACAACAGAGTGGTTTCAGCACAAATGGTAACAGAGTCCAATTTATTCCACACCTTGTTATTGAACATGTGTTGCATGCCAGGTGTCTTGCTAGGCACTAATGTTCCCCCTTCTCCACCTTTCCTCCTGAGGTCACACTGCCAACTGTCACCTTCTCCCTTTGTAGCTAAGGTAAAATTACTGAGAAGGCAGATCTGATTGGCTCAGTTTGCTTTTTCGTGTCAGATCACAAACCACAAGATGCTGGCCGTAGAGCTGGTTGCCATTGGGTCATTGGTTTATCCTAGGGCTTCCCAGAGCTAAGAGCACCCAGAGTTGTTTCCCTGCCCAAGGGACTGTGGATAAGGCAATTTACCCCTGAAGGAGAAGGTGGGCATCATCGACGGATGGGCAAAATACAGCCTGGCAGAGAAGCTGCTGAGTAAATAGTGACGGATAGATGGATGGATGAATGAATGGGTGGAGGAGTGAAAGAGGATTGTAGCAAAAGCAAATTTAGGAGAAGGGAGCCACTTTTGGTCCTGTTGTGCAAAGCTCTACAGAGGACAGGATTTAAAGACATGTAACAACTTTTGTTTCCTTTGGGGAAGAAAAGACTTTCTAAACAGGAATAGCACATACAAAGCCTTTAGAAAAGTAATCTAGAACTTGAGTGTGTGTAAGTTTACTTGTTTTTTGAAAATGCAAACTTCCAGGCCTCATCCAGAGATGGTTATTTAGTAGTTCTGGAGTGGGGTCCAGAAATCAGAATTTTACACAAGCCTTCCTGAGGCATCTAATTCTGATACAGTGGTTGTCCACCACACTTTGAAAAACACAGATCGAGGATTTTGTAAATCTTTGTGAAAAAGCAGCACATCTATTTATATTCTCTGACTTCCTTCCCTTTCAGGGTCCGTCCCTGAAATTGTATCACTGTAGCCATGAGGTTGGAGTTCTGAGCTCTTTGACCCCTCCCAAGACAAGGAAAAGGGTGTTTGCCTTGCAGTGAGGCCCCCTCGGGTAGTTAGGTTACCTCCTTTTTAAGTGATGCTGGAAATCTGATTTTTATGAGAAATCTCCTCACTTAAAAAATCTGAGTTAACTATCATAAACACCAGTGGCTTGGGATTTGGCAGCTTTCAGTTTGTTTTAGCTGAATGCTTCTAACTGTGCTCTCCTCTAGGACTGGTCATCTCTGTGGGCGGCCTCTCACTGCTTTGTGTCCTCTGTGGCTTGAGCTTCGTATCACTCACCGTGTCGGGGACAATCATAGTGTCCTATGTCATGGTCTCCAGCCTTGTCAACTACTGGTTTCCTCCCAGGTAAATACATGTTAATGCAGTAATTTAATCTTTACCATTTGGGGGATTTTCACAAATACTACCCTAACCCTAGTTGGATGTCTAGAAGTCAAATTGTGAGAGGCCGGTGTTCTGTATAGTTTTCCATACACATCAGACACCAAATGAGAATTGACAATGGAGTTTCAAACAAACAAACAAAAATACCGTCATCATCCACCACACACAATTACTCATTTTGTTGTTGTGGCAACGCTATGTGAAGTAACTGTTATTGATTCCTTTTAAAAGACGCCATTAAATTTACAAAACTTCAAAATAAGGTGTTTTTTTTGCGGGGGGCTACGAGAATAATGAGCCACCATTCCACTCACCGTGCATATATCTCAGGATGATACAGGGGGCTGTGAATCTGCTGTTCCCAATGTCTATCTTCATTCTCTGCTCTTCAGAATGTGAGTGTGTCACCATACTGAGTTTGATCTTGTGTTTGATGGTATGGATTTTGTTCCTACATTATGGCTCCTAAACGCCAGCTACCCTTCATCTGGAGCCTCAGCTGAAGGAACAGTGATCTATTTAAATACTGGAGGGAAAACCAGCTATGCTGGAATTACTGTAAGACAGTCAGTTTGTGTATAATGGGCCACCCTCCTGAGCGATTTTCAGAGATGATTTTTTTTTAATGCTTGATTTTTATCTTTTTATCTTTGTTGAATGTAGAATCTAAGTTTCAAGTAGGATGTGACTCCATTGTGCTTCCTTTAAGCTCTTGCTTAATTGATGATAGTGGCTAATACCCATCAAGTACTTGCTCCGGCCAGGGACTCTGTTATGCACTTTCCAGGCCTTAGCTCATATAATCCTCCAGCCACCCTGTGAGGCAGGTTCTAGCTCCATCCTATGACCAGGGAAATGAAACCAAATCCCAAAGCAAAGTGTAACAGAGAAGGGACTTAAATGCAGGTCAGTTAACTCCAAAACCTCTTAACCAAGATTCCAAGTGATTCCAAAACAGGAGTCAGCAGACAATCTCTGTAAGGGGCCAGATGATAAATATTTTAGGCTTTGCGGGCCATGTGGTCCGTATTGCAACTCCTTAACTCTGCTGCTATAGCCAAAAAGCAACATAGTCAATAAGAAAACAAGTGAGCATGGCTGTGTTCCAATAAAACTTTTATTTACAAAGACAGGCAGCAGGCTGGATTTGGCCCAAGAATTTGCCAACCCTTGCGCTAAAAGAACCAATATCCTGAATTTTGTTTTTCTATAGAGTAGCCCTTGAACTTTTTTTAATAATTTTTTATTGTTATGTTAATCACCACACATTACATCATTAGTTTTTTTTTTAATTTTTTTATTGTTATGTTAATCACCATATATTACATCATTAGTTTTTGATGTAGTGTTCCATGATTCATTGTTTGTGCATAACACCCAGTGCTCCATGCAGAATGTGCCCTCTTTAATACCCATCACCAGGCTAACCCATCCCCCCACCCCCTCCCCTCTAGAACCCTCAGTTTGTTTTTCAGAGTCCATCGTCTCTAATGGTTCGTCTCCCCCTCCGACTTACTCCCCTTCATTCTTCCCCTCCTGCCATCTTCTTCTTTTTTTTTTCTTAACATATATTGCATTATTTGTTTCAGAAGTACAGATCCGTGATTCAACAGTCTTGTACAATTCACAGCGCTCACCATAGCACATACCCTCCCCAATGTCTGTCACCCAGCCACCCCATCCCTCCCACCCCCCACCACTCCAGCAACCAGCCCTTGAACTTCTTACCAAAATGTTATCCTGTTGTTACTCAGGTTAGAAAATAAAATGTGAAGTGGGTATAATTTAAACTAGCTCAGGGCTGGTTGTCACAGGATTGCCTGGTTGATATCCCTGGAATTACATCCAGCTTCTTATAAATTGTTTTGATCACTCTCAGTCTTAAAGGGGTTAAAAGGAGAAATAATTGGCTTAAATTTGGCTTATTGAAGCTGATGCTTCTGAGCCAAAAATCTCTCCCTGCCTCTGAACCCTGCTCTGCTATACCACAAGGAGTAACAAAATCTGAATACCACCTGTTTGTCAATGAAGAGATTAAAAAGATTTCCAAGCTTTGTCCTTGATCTCCTTACGCTCACCTCGTCCTCCCAACTGAGGCACCAGGACCCATTGTTTTAACCTGGGTGGTGGTTCTCAAGCTTTTCGTTCTCGACACATTTTGCCTTCTTAAAATTACTGAGTCTTCCCAAGGTTTTGTTCATGTGGTTTAAATGGACCAATAATTACTGTAGTAGAAATTAACAAATTTGAAAAATACTCATTTAAAAGGGACAGTATTGGGCGCCTGGGTGGCTCAGATGGTTAAGCGTCTGCCTTCGGCTCAGGTCATGATATCGAGCCCCGCATCGGGCTCCCTGCTCCGCAGAAGCCTGCTTCTCCCTCTCCCACTCCCCCTGCTTGTGTTCCCTCTCTCACTGTGTCTGTCAAATAAATAAAATCTTAAAAAAATAAATAAATAAATAAAAGGGACAGTATTACCTGTTGATATAAATAACATCTCTATGAAAAGTAACTATATTTTCCAATATAGAATGAAATGACTGAGTTTTACGTTTCACAAATAGCTTTTTTTTTTTTAATTTAAGATTTTATTCATTTGTTAGAGAGAGAGAGAAAGTGCACACAAGCCCGGGGCTGGAGAGGGAGAGGGAGAGGAAGAGGGAGAAGCAGGCTCCCCGCTGGGCAGGGATTCCCGACTCGGGGCTCAAGCCCAGGACTCTGGGATCATGACCTGAGTTGAAGGCAGATGATTAACCAACTGAGTCACTCAGGTGCTCCTACCTTTCACAAATATCTTTAATGTCTGCCTTAATAGACGTCAGCTGGGTTTTGAAGACCCAGCCTCACAAATGTGCGGCTGGCAAAGGGAGGTAAAGCTTTTTCAGAGCACTATGGATGTTCTTCTTTGATAGTACACCAAAACTCAGTAAGTGGTAGTTTCTTAAAGGTTAATTGAAATGTGACCTTTTTTACTTTGTTGTATTAAAATCCCCTTGTCTGTCTTGTACTTTTTTTTAGATCTTTTACCGTGCATGTTTTTGTAACTTCACGCACTGCTCATTTGCAATACCCAAATTAGAATAGGGGGAAGGGGCATAATCCCTACCCCTGACTCAGTCTGCCCTGAGTTTCCTCATCTATAAAATAGGTATAGCCTTAAATCTGGTGTGGTTGCAAGAAGCAGCTAAAAATAAACCAACAAAGAATACCATATATTCAGCTTTGTGCACTCTCAATTAAAGCTCTTCAAAGAGGCCCTAGAGCTAACCATTTCCTCTTGTTACCAAACAGACCTCTGACACGACAAAACTCCAGTGGCGACTGTCAGCTGGCTATGAAGTCCGCAGACTTAGAAGGGCTCTACCAGGAATGACCGGCCCAGCGGAGCCAGAGCTTTTTCTAAGCACTTCTCGAAGGCTGTGGATCATACTCAGCCCTTGGGATTATGACTCAGAAGGGGGCTGGGTGGTCAAGCACTCCTTGGAAGTGGCCTCTGGCTTTTTCATGTATTCCTAGGATCCCACAAGGGCCACTTTGGGGGTCTTGTTGCTCTTGCATGAGTCCTGTGGTTCTGTTGGCTGACCCACCCTCACATGAGAATTAGCAGAGAACTGCAGTGGCTCAGCACTTCCTTGCCTTTTGCCCTTCCTCCCCAATGTGCAGACTTGACCTTGGCCCAGTCCTGAGCCTCTACAGCCTGGCAGCTTGACCCCAAAGACTCAGTCTTGTGTCCAAGGGCCCAGTTTGGGGCAACTGTGGATTTTTTTTTCTTTTTTTCAAAAATGAGAGAGGCTGTTTATATCTTCACTTATTTGAAAGGTGGGGAAAGAGCAAAACAGATCAAGCTCTTCTGCCTTATTAGCTTTTTATCAGAAAAATCAGCAACATTTGGCAATAATGGCTTCTCAGGCAGAGCTGGGTAAAAAATAGAGTCCAAAGTTAACTTTATGGCCAAGGGCACTTTTGAAGGAAATCTAAAGAGTTTCCATGTTGAGTACTGTTAAGTGCCGTTACTCTTGAAAATATTTGCACTTGATACTTTTGTATTGTTTGAAAGAACTTGGCTTGTTAAGCCATTTCTGTAAAAAGTCCTATGAAAATGCTAAAGGACTAAACAAGCTTTTAAAATCCTGCGGGATTTCTTCTTCAGTGGTCTGCTGTGGCATTTTATTAAATATTTATGTAGATGAGCTTTTTTTCTTTACTCTTTATTTCACCCCCTAGACATCAGACCCCCCCTTATTCCTTCTCCGTTGATTTCATGGCAGATCCTGGGTAACAGGGCTCGTGATAGACACTCCACCCAAAGTGGCATTAAGCGGGGTGGGGGGGGGGGAGTGGGGGGGGCGGGCAGAAGGCGGGAGTTCCTTTCACTGAACTAAAAAGCCAGGGGGTAGATTTTCAGGCACTGCTGGATCCAGGGGTTCAAGCGGCATCTTGAGGCATCTCTCTCCCTTCATCCCTCAGCATTGCTTTCCTCGTGTGAGCTGCTTTTCCAGTCAGGCCCTGCATACGTGGAGGTCCCAACAGCTCTGGCTTTATATGTCAGCTTCTGGGTTTGGCTCTGATTGGACGGACTTGGGTCATGTGAGCAATCCTGAACAATCACAGTGGTCAGGAGGGTGGACTGTGCAGATGGGGCAGGGCCACGCCATACATAGGTTCATGCCGGAGCCAGGGGATGGTTTACGTCAGCCCCAATGGTTTTGCATAGGGTGGGGTGCATACTCCCAAAGGAATATGAGACGGAGTGGAAATATTTGCTGGGCAGATGAAATAAAAAGCCTGCTACTTGTCCTACTTACAGGACATAAAAGCCTTAATCTGGAAACTTCTGAATCCCATGACAGCCACGCCTGTCCCTAAAGGTGGCTTTACCTCTTAGAGAAAAAGAACTGCGTACTCCTGCCAGCACATGGAGTATTAATAATTGGTGTTTATTAAATTTTTCTTTTCTTCATGCAAGTGTCTGCTCTCATCTGTCTATGCCATCTACCCAGCTGGGCAGTAATGAAAAATGAAAAGGCCCCTGGCCTCCAGTGGTTTACTTCCTAACACAAGAGTCGCTTAACAAGTGTATTAACGGTTGCTGTAGAACAGTTTACGACAAACTATAGACTTAAAAGAACATATGTTATCTCACATTTTCAGGGTGTTAGGAGTCCTGCCTTAGCTGGGTCCTTTGCAAGACTACAAGCGCAGTGTTGCCAGGGCTGGGTTCTCATTTGAGGTTCAACCGGGGAAGGATCCACATCCAAGCCCACATGGTCATTGGCAGCATCCAGTTCTTTTCAGGCTATAGGGCACCTCACACATGGCAGCTTGCATCTTTGAAGCCACCAAGAGATTCTCTTAGCAAGGCAGGCATTACGTTCTTAAGTAGCATAATCACGTATGTGTAATCACATGTATCTTGTCACTTCCACCATATTCTGTGGGTTAGAAGCAATCACGGGTCCCAACCATGCTCGAGAGGGGAATCACACAAAGGCATGTGTACCAGAAGTCAGGATCACAGATTCCACCCTAGGTCTACCTGCTACAACCAGTAAACAAAATATTAGATTGTGTTAAGTGTATCGGAAGAAAGTAAAAGGGTGACAACCAGGGGAGGCCACTTTGATCACAGCAAGCAAGGATTTTCTCTCTGAACCAAAGAATGAGAAGTTACTGCCATGCCAAGAGCTGGGGGTGGATGTTCCCAGCAGAGGGCACAGGGACACAAAGGCCCAAAGACTGGAAAAGAAATGATGTCAGTGTGGCTGGGCCTGGTGAGTAAAGGGCAAATGAAAGAGAGCCAGGAGCCCTTCATGCAGGGCCCCATAGAATAAGAAATTTACATCAAAGAGCAAAGGGAAGACCATGCATTTTAAAGGGACACAATCAGACTTGGATTTTTAAAGATAACTCCATGGTCAGTGGATCAGGAGTTGAAGGCCAGTTAGGTCTGCAGAGGATGGTTGTGGCGCCACACGGGGATGGAGGTGATGGAGACCTTCCTAATTTGGAGAACCGGCAGCATTTGGTGATGGATTGCATGTGGGTGATGAAGGAAGGGAGGACATAGGATGGCACCTAATTTTTTAACTTGAGCCAGTGGGTAGATAGAGACACTTTTCTGAGATGGGGGCTGGGTGAATATTCAAAATCTCCTTTGCTCATATTAAGTTAGGCCTTTTTAACATGAATAGGGTGTGTGAGGTAGACAGCTTAAGAGTGTAGGTCTGGGCTGGGGATACAAGATTTGGAAGTGTTTTCAGTGCTGAGGGCTTTACACAGCCATCTTATGGAATGCTTTCCTAGAAGTAGCCAAGAGATCGTTTTAAAACATATTTCTGATTACGTGAACATCCTTGCTTCAAACTCTGCAAAGTGCAAGGTGCACTTGGGTAAGAACCATCACAAGCTGCCCCTGCTGGCTTCTCTTTTTTTTATATCCATCAGCCTCTGGATTTTAGAGGTGAAACTAAGATTTAGAGCAGAACTGACTCACTAATTTGGCCAGGAAATGTGGCATCTAAATCATGGCTTTACAGTTCAGGCTTTCCATCACATTGCCTGGAGCCCAAGGCCTTTGCTGATCAAAGTAAAATAATGTACAGAACCCAGCAGAGTGCCTGCCCCAGAATAGAACCATAAAGCATAGTTGTCAAAACACACAGTGCACCATCATTTAAAACTTAGTGGAACAGGAACATGTGAAAGGCCTATTGTTAGCCAAGCTTGGAGGAATGTTAGGACCCCCGATTATTCAAAAGGTGCCTGCCTTTTAGGCATTGTTCAATGTGTGACTCATTTGGAAAGGTAATTTATCCTTAGAGCATGAAAACCATGACTTTATACAGCCAGAATGTTAATTTATCAGTTTGTCCAGGAGCCTGTTTTTGCCATGTGTTGGGCACTATCTTAAACCCTCTACAAATCAATACACATTTTCAGTCAGTCCTCACTACCACCCATTTTAGAGATGAAAAACCTGGAAGACTGAGAGGTTAAGTTGTCAAGGGCACTCAGAAACAAGTGGGATTCAAGCCCAGTTTGCCTGACTGCAAAACCCACCCTTGTAGCCAGCATGTGGTTCAATGTCAACTCCACCACCTGCCTTTGTGTCCTTCTGAGATTTGGACTCATGCCCTAATATATGCTGTCTCTAACAGTACCCATATCTTCGCTGCTGTGTCAAAGAACTCCAGGGATTGCCAGTTTCATAAAATGGAATGTGAATGGTTGGCTCCCCCTAGAGTGGTCCCCGTAGACAATGGTCCCCCAAGACCATTTCAACTAGCACCTGTGCATGACTTCTCTTGTCTGCTTTGCTTAGAATAGAGGATTCAGGGGTGCTGGCTGGCTCAGTCGGTAGAGTGTGCAACTCTGGATCTTGGGGTTGTGAGTTTGAGCCCCACGTTGGGTACAGAGATTAGTTAAAAAAATAAAATGTTTAAAAAGACCCAGGAGATTCAGCGCACAGTTGCAACACTCTGGCAAAGGCATGATCAGGTGTGAGTTGTCACGAGAAGGTTGAGTACTTTCACGTAGGTTTTGCTGTGCTTCCTTGAGCAGGAGAGAAAAGGTGGAGATAGAGGGGGTAGAATTTGAGAATAACCTGCATTCCCTTACCTATGCCATGGTACCCCCAAAACACATGTGCATGCGTGCATACACATATCATGAGTGATTAAATAGGCATGCACACACACACACACACACACATCCTGAGTGATTGGTAAGAGTTGTGACAATTATGAATTAATGAAGTGCTTTCTTTGCCTTCTTGGGGGAAAGGTGTGGGGATTATATATAAATCTGGTGTGCCTCTTGAGTATGTCGTTATGGTGGATAGTATCCACATGTGTGGCAGAAAAGTTCAAAATCAATGATGTTGGAGCATCCCCCTTCCAAACCTCCCACTTCAAAAGATTTCCACCTTCCACAGCCCAGCTCCAGGTTCATACCTCCGTGAAGTCATGTCTTGCTATGTGCATTCTCTTTATACTTACAGCCCTTGTGGAACAATCATGGTGAACAAATGACAATCTCTCTGTGCATTGACTTCCTTAGTCTGTAAAGAGAATGCCGCCCAACCGGAGTCTTTGGGAGACTGAGGCAAGTGATCTCTAGATTATAAAACTGCTACAACACCGTGGAATAATTATACCCTTGCTCGACTAAATTGTCTCTTGTTTGCTGCTATTCTCTTTTATTTGTCCTTCCTTCTATCCTCCCTACCTGACCCCTCTCCACCAGTGCTCTGGGGATGGAAACAATGTCTGCATATTCATTTTGGGTAGCCTAGAACTTTATACATAGAAACCCCTGAACAACATTTTCCACTGACCAGAAAAGACCAAGAAGTATGAATCCAGAGCCTATTTCCCGGGACATTTGGCAGCATGTGGAGGCATTTTTGATTGTCATGACTGTGTGTGTGTGTGTGTTTGGGAGAGGGACTGCTGCTGGTTTCTGGGGACTTGAGGCCAGGGATGCTGCTAACCATCCTACAATGCACATGACAGCCCCTTACAAAAATAATTATCTGGGCCCAAATGTCAGTGCCGAGGCTGAGAAATCTTGATGGGGACAAACAAGAATTAAGAACGTTAGGCTCGGTGTTGGGAAAATTGGACAGCCATATGCAGAAGAGTGAAACTGGACCATTTCCTTACACCACACACAAAAATAGACTCCAAATGGCTGAAAGACCTAAACGTGAGACAGGAGTCCATCAAAATCCTAAAGGAGAACACAGGCAGCAACCTCTTCAACCTCAGCCGCAGCAACTTCTTCCTAGAAACATCGCCAAAGGCAAGGGAAGCAAGGGCAAAAATGAACTATTGAGACCTCATCAAGATAAAAAGCTTTTGCACAGCAAAAGAAACAGTCCACAAAACCAAAAGACAAATGACAGAATGGGAGAAGATATTTGCAAATGACATATCAGATAAAGGGCTAGTATCCAAAATCTATAAAGAACTTATCAAACTCAACACCCAAAGAACAAATAATCCAATCAAGAAATGGGCAGAAGACATGAACAGACATTTTTCCAAAGAAGACATCCAAATGGCCAACAGACATATGAAAAAGTGCTCAACATCGCTCGGCATCAGGGAAATCCAAATCAAAACCTCCATGAGATACACCTCACACCAGTCAGAATGGCTAAAATTAACAAGTCAGGAAACGACAGATGT